CGAATCCCCAACATTGGATTAAAGGTTACAGAGACTAATATATGAATAAGTTGTCCAAATGGCTCGATAAATATAAATTCATTACGGACAATGGAACTTGTAGCGAAATGTTTAGACCTGGGTAAACCTGGAGATAATTCTTTCAATCTGTAATGCGTTTGGGGTTGTATGTTTCACCAATGATTGTAAAGCATTCATCTGAAACTGAATTCAAATGATCTGTGTAACTTAGAAGCCTTCAATAAATATCTGAAAATGGTTGACACAAACGTTCCATTCGTCACAACTCGGCCGATTCCGTACAGATGGAGAGAAGCGGACTCACCCGAGATTAGGCGATTGACAAACGTACCAGTCGTTCTAAGAGCTATGTCCCTTATTCTAGGTTGGACATAAAAGAGGATCTTCATGGGGTTTACAGAATAGAGAATAATAGGGGAAAAAATAAAGAATGTTATTATTATATAGAAAAATGGTCCAAACGAAATAAAGAATAGAGAATAATCGGGTGCTTAAGTATTAAAAAAAAAAATGATAACTTGGGCAAAAAAACTGAAAAAAGAGAAATTCTTCTTTAAATAAGAATGCAAAAATGAAAAACTCCCATCCAGATCCTCGCGTAGAAAAATATTAGTACCTCATTACTAATTTTGTTAGAACATTTATAAAATAAAATTTCCCCGTTTATTGAACAAAACTTAAAGTGGATACACTATATTGCCATACAGTATACTTTGAAAACTGTTACTCATAGAAATTATGAGAGAAGTATTTAAGATGTATCTATTCTATGAATAATTGGGACACCTGCAGTGCGCGGTATGTGTGAAAAAACATACAAGAATGAAAAACATTGACAACTAATTGAACGAAGTCAAAACACTACAGTTTATACTGTATCTTTATTGTCTATATGATATATCATTTGTAAGGTAAATTGTTGTACACATACCGATGATAAACACTTATATATAACGTATTTTGTCTATTACACAGTGCATATATGCTATTGACCTTAACTTCAATACTTAAAGAAACTATTTAGAAACGATTTTTTAAAACTCCCTCAGGTACAGTTACACAGTGCGTATATGCTATTGAAGTTAATTCTAAATATTAAAGAAATTATTTAGAAATAAATTTCCAAATCTCCCAGGCAAAGTTGACCTTCTATTAATTAGGCTTTTCTTTTTAAGATCTTTTTTGGTCAGATAGATCATAGCGTTTCACGTATGTTTACGTCCCTGGATTCAAATGTTTCTGACGAAGAAAGGAAATCCAGAAAATCGCTTCGGACACACGAAATTTAAAACTTTTCTTTTTATTTTAAAGCCCATTATAGAAAGTCATTTATTCCTGAAGTCGTTTCCAAAAGCCCCAAATTTGATTTTAAAATTATAATATGATACAAATTCCCCCTTTTTTCTTGAAAGAACTGGTTCGCTGCAATGAAAAGCGACGTCGATAGCAGATTTTGCATGTGAATTTATATGTTTTTATTTTGTTTATATGAATTTTATTTACTTTTCGTCCTTGCTCTTCATTGAAGAGAACCAGTTCTTTTGTCTGCAATATGATAGTGATTTAGAGTTAAATTCATACTATCCAAAATGACATTCTGGAAATGTTTTCCTGCAACTTTGATCACAATCAATCCACTCAATCACCGAAAGAGTCAGTTACTCTCTAACATCGTGTGTCTTAGTTGTTCTAGTCGTCTCGGGGTTGTACTCTAACATCGTGTATCTTTGTCCTTCTAGTCGTCTCGGGGTTGTACTCTAACATCGTGTATCTTAGTTCTTTTAGTCGTCTCGGTGTTGTACTCTAACATCGTGTATCTTAGTTCTTCTAGTCGTCTCGGGGTTGTACTCTAACATCGTGTATCTTTGTCCTTCTAGTCGTCTCGGGGTTGTACTCTAACATCGTGTGTCTTCGTTCTTCTAGTCGTCTTTACCGTGTTTAAAACATGTATATAAGTGAAGCAAACTTAAAAGTCAACTCCTTTCAACTATTTGCCACTGGAGGTTAAACACATAAAAGTTAACGTCTGTGTACTATTTGCCACTGGACGTTTATCAAACAACAATCAATCATTATCTGATTTCTCTGAAAAAAAACTTTAACCTTTAATGAGTAAGTTATACCGTTAGCGATATTGAATAGTAAATCTCAAGAACAATAAACTGTTGGAACTACTTAAACTAACATCTATTTTGTGAGATAAATATCACCTTTAATTTGATGGTCATTTTTTGTTTGTGGATAACAGCAGTTATCACACACTAGATAAAAGAAGATATTTATGGAGCCGACAACAAGTATTGCGCGAGATTAATCAGGTTGTCCCATTCAATTACCATCAATTTTGTGCTTATGTCTGTTTTTCAGACAGACTAAATCAAGATATTTTTTGTAGAATTGTTTGGCTTTATACAAAAGTTTATTGCAAATATACTATCGTTTATATGTTCGAATGCAAGTTTAATTAAAATGTCGGTGCTTCAACACTGATCGACATGATTTAGGAATAAAATTTCGATTAAAAGTATTGAAGAAAAAAAATTATTGAGATTGCAACTCCCTTGAATAAAGAAGACAAAGAGGGTATGGCTGTCCAATTTCAATCCTTCCTGTTTAAAGTTGCTTAGTGACTTTTGTTTATTAAGCTGTTCAAACTTTTAAAAAGCGGATGCGGGCAAATTCAGAGAATAGCTACCTTTTAGGCAATTACATGTACATGTATGTGTCTTTGTTTCTTTGAACTAGATATGATTGATTGATGGTGTTTTTCGCTACCAATTTACAAACTTACTTATGAAGTTGAAATAGACTATACAATTGTATGCTCATCAAATCTTTGTTCATTTTATTCATTCAACTAATAGATATTTGGTGTAATTAAAAGCTGGCAAAGAAAATTGGTGTAATTGAATGTTGGCAAAGATAGATTGATGTAATTAAAAATTGGCAAACCAAGAGTAAAACCTCTGCTTTGGGTTTTGTCAAGTGAGTGTAGGGATTTAGTTTCATGAATTAATACACCTTGATACCTCGTTTTTTCCATGGTACAAATTAAAAGCTTAAAATTTCGCAGAAGTATACATCTGTAAAGTAAACTTACTAGATGTCTTAGAATATTGCACTTGTAATATTTTTTGATGCACTGAATGCCATTTCACATTATTACCGTATTTAAGATCGATTTTAAGGTACGGCAAATATAAAATATTATTAAACGATTTGAGAGGATTTGAGTGCAGCTAAGACCGTTCAAAAACATTATTATTCAAATATATTGATATTAAAAGATGACTAAACTCTTGTTCATGTCGGATAAATTGTCACAAACATCGCATTAACCCAGACAGATGGCACGGTGACAATAGAAAAGGAGTTGTTCCGAATGTCATTTGCTTGCTAATGTATTCATGCGCGAACAACTTAACTAAATAGGAGACAATCACTTACATTCTCATCCGCGGTCAATGATGAACGTTTTATTTGCAAATTACAAAGTAATTATGCGGTTTAACAAAGTCAACCCTCATAGACCACCCTCGACACGATGAAAGTTAAAATAAATTCGATGTTAATTGTGACAAAATATGGGAAAGTGAGTTTTGCACACAACAACAGTTTTAAAAATTTGATTATACAAAAGTTTTAAGAATTTGATCATACAAGCTTTAAGCGCTACACTGATTGCTGGAATTACTTCTTGTTCATTTATTAAACAAAATGCACCTAAACGGAATTTCCATCTTGATGTATGACGCTTTACATATTTGAAATGTTATTGCACTTTTGTGGCATTTTTGAGGTATTCAACAATCAATTTTACTTCTTTGCAGTATAACTTGTTGTCTGCGAGATATACCGAACCTTCAAAGAAACTTAATGCATATGTATTAAAATATTAAATTTGATGGTCTTAGATATAATTATTTTCAAAAATGTCTGCTGCTTTTAAGTGCAAATGATCTTAGTTTTCCTTTGACAATATGACTCGTTGCAAAAGAGCTATATAGAGCAGTGAGCTACGGTATCTTTATTACAAATCTTGTTTATGTTCATACACCACGTTTGAAAATACCATTGAAAGATTGTTATCTTATTTAAGATTTAAATATTGAGACTTTGGTATTGTTAATCGTCTAAAGCATCTCAGAAATTATCTTGAAAAGATTACATTAATTTTTTATATTACCCCTTCCCCTCCCCTCCCCCCCCCCCCCCCCCCAAAAAAAAAAGAAAATTAGAAGTTTTCAGAAGATGATCTATTAAAATGATAGCGATCTATATATATATATACACTAGGCGATTCATTAATGCCTTATTTACCATGTGAAAGGTCTTTTTCTATATGGGCATCACAGAGAAGGTTTCAGATCACATGTCTAGGAAATAGATATTGAAAACAGATAAACCAATATGCAATATGATCACTACAGCATAATCAGAACCGTCTACTTTAGATTTCGCCTAGTCTCAAAACTAAGAAAATTTCTAGATAGGAGCTTTTATCAAATTGTATCTTGTAAATCAACTCCGTGTTAAAGGTTTGCGATGAATTCGAGAACCAATAAACCACAATTATGAAAATAGCAAATAAGTCCGATTGATTGAGTGGAGTGTGTTCAAAGTCCTACGTCACTAGAAATTCGCAAACACAAGTTGTTATGCATGAGAGAATGGATGAGAAGAAGTACTAAAATGGGGTTTACAGGACAGAAGATTATAGACCAAAACATAATGAATATAGTAAAATGGGGCAAAAGATAAAAGAGTAATGGGGTGCTAGAGTATACAGAATAGAAAATATTGAATAAAATAACAATACAGAAATAAAGACCGTCACTTTATTTAGACCCTAACTCAATGTAGACCCTCATGCATTATAACAGACTTGGATAAATATTCATACTAATATTACATCGAAGATGACTGCCTATACAATTTTGCCCTTTTAATTTGGAATAAATTTATTTATCTTTTTTCAGGTTTTAAAGAAACGTCATTTTTATTTGCTGTGTCGTCTGCTGGACTTGTACATTCGATTTCACGTGGATGTAGCACGGGTCGTCTGGATAGGTGCACGTGTGATGAGTCGAAAAATTTACAAAACGAAGAAGCATGGCGGTGGGGTGGCTGTGGAGATAATATAAAATTCGGACTTAAATTTACAAGACGATTTTTAAAACGTGCGAAACGAAATGGAAAGGATGTTTTAGCTAGAGTAAACAGACATAATAGCCATTTAGGTATAAAGGTATGTATTCTTATTGCGTCTTTAGTTGTCCCCCGCGTAACGCGATGCGGGGGACATGGAAATATAGGGCGTCCGTCCGTCCGGTTTTGTTAGCTGTCTCACGAGTACAATTCTTGCCAGATTTTTATGGAACTTGTATCATAGGTTTATATCATCAATGTCTTGGACGAGTTCGAAAATCAGTGCCGATCAATTATTTTAAAAGAGTTATGCCCTTTGTTTTATTTGTTGTGTTCTGTATACAATTGTTTATCTTTTGGTCTTTTTGTTTTTTTTTTTGTTTTTTTTTGCCATGACGTTGTTAGTTTATTTTTGACTTTGATTTTGAATGTCCCTTTGGTATCTTTCGCCTCTTTTTTATGTTAACATATCGAAGGTCTATTGGAGTTTTAAACACTAAATTCCGTTCTCTATTCTATTTTAATGGTCTGAACATTTGCTAGCTGTACATTTGCATATATGTGAAGTCGAACGGTAAGCAGAAGTGAGTTGATTTGTTTTTCATCTTAAAGAAAGTAAGTTTGTTTCTGTTGCTAGGGAGATGGTATGATAATAACTTTGATATGGCCCTATATTGCAGTGAGGTTTAGCAGTTTTTTCTAACTGCTCCATTTCTAAAGCGAGTGTCGAAGCAAAATGTAGTTATTATTGATTGTTCTTTGCTTAACGTCCATAAAAAAATAGGAAACATCTTACCTATTATCAAATTCTTAAAGATTTAATATCTTATATTGGTATAGAAATTGATTTTCGATTTTCAGGATTTTTAAGTTTTGGAATTTGATGATAAAAATTCTTTTCAAACCTTTTTTGGAAAAAAAAATAATGCAATTGAAAGATCAAACTAGAGGATAAAATGAAAACTATTAATTTTTCATTCTGATTTGGAAATTCAACAATTACGTATTACATTTCGTAATTGATGATAGTGATTAAGTAGCAGAAATTATGGTAGACACATACAGTCGATCAATCTGTTAGTTTGTCCTAGTTTGGGTGATATTCTACTCTTAAAACATGGTCCGATGACACAGTTATCGTCCTTTACAAATATAGTCCCTGTGTGTGAACAGTGTATAACTTGCCAATTTTTTTCATACATTTTCCCATGTTATTTCTTGATATTTTATGCATGAAATATTAAGTTAGGGGATGCAGTTACATGTTAAAAAAATTTGGGTGCTATATCTTTATGTTAGTAGTGATTTGGTCCAGTTAAAAAAGGTCAAAAATTAGTATGTCTGAAGCTGTCAAACTGAATTTTAGACCCCCTTAACACAGAATTGTCAATATTTTGAGTTAGAGCTGGTAGAAGTTTCTATAATTTTGATATTATTTTTCTCAATAGTAGTACACTACACTGTAAAAATCTTTTTGAGATAGAGCAGTTGCGATTTTTTTTAATTTGAATTTATTGTCTAAAAGAAATGCACTACGAAATAACTGTGTTCTCGGGCCACATGGCTTAGTGGGTGACAATTTTTTCTCGTGCATCTATAGCAATTAGAAATCAATAATTTGTGTATGACAGGGCTTAAATATAGTACACTTTTCTTTTTTTCAAGTATACTATACATTTAGATTAAGCAATGGGTACATGTTAATTTTTAACATACATTTTTTTTCGAAATATGGTATCTAAAGCAATTAAAAATCAATTATGTGTCTATGACAGGGCTTGAATATAGTCAATTTGCTTTTTTTTTCAAGTATACTATACATATGATTTTTCTTTAATTGTGGTTTTTACATTCTAGTAAATCACTTTTGCTTAAAAAAGATATTATCACGTGATAACATTTTATGTGATTGCCTTTGACAGATTTATATATCTTATCAGACAAATAACAATGATTTTTATGTAAAAAATGTGTATTGAAAAGTATAAATGCCAGTAGCATATATCGAATTTGATTAATGACTAACCACAAATGTAAGCGAACCACAAATGTTTTGTCTTTAGGATATTTTAACAGTGATTTTGGGGCATATTCTCTTAAATTTTCCACGTTTTGTATTGAATGAATACGTTCCGATCAGTCATTTTTATTTAACATTAGTATTGATTCATCAATGTAATGGGTTTCATGACTCAATCATGAACAGCAACGCGTTTTTCTCTCCCACTTTTTGCGTGACTTTAAAACCCCTCGGTGGTATCGGGGGCGATTCGGGGCAGCGTGATCGCAATAAGTATGAGAAGTCGTCGTTTTAATTCCCAACCGGGTCAACCAGAAGTGTTTGAAAAAGTAAAATGCTATTTATTGCCCGACTAACCGGCACATATGAGTAGTAGCAAGAGGCAGAATTAAGTGACCGAGTAAGGTAACATATAAAACTGCGAACAGTTACCTTTCGAGCAAACATCACATAAAGCCGACTCATGGTCTAAGAAAATTATTAATTATGAAGTAGTATATATCAACATGAGAAAGATGGGGAAGATACTTAGGGTGCAACTATGGTCTTTTGTTTTGTGAGTGCCGTTGGCTGCTGTCTCATTGACGTATACTAGTATCCCCAATCGGCTAACCTCGGGTGACTCCGCTTCTCTCCTTCTATCATATGTACGATGGAGGTACGGAATCGGCCGAGTAGTGACGAACGCTAGTAACCAACATCACCATTTTCTTTTGAATTTATATTTGCCAATCGACTCTAATTGCCTATTGTAATCCATAAATGTGTATGTCTGTTCGAAATATGGATAATTTGGTGGTGTGTATAATGAAAGAAGAATTAGGGTAAACAAGGGGGAGATAGGAACCCAACAGCATTCTATATGTTTCTTTCCTAATTCAGGAGCCAGTGATTCGGTGGTTGTCGTTTGTTGTTGTATATCATATTTGTTATTCATTTTTTTCTCATTTGAATTGTTTTAAATCTGTCATGTCGGGGCCTTCTTTAGTCTGCTAAGCCGTATATGTTTTGCTCTTGGTTGAAGGACGTACAGTGACTAATAGTTGCTGCCTTCTACGTCATTTGGTCTCTGGTGGATGGTAGTCTCATTTATTATTTTACCACATCTTCTTCTTTTTATTTTATATCATAGCTAATGATAAAGCAACACGACGGGTGCCACTAATTGAACAGAATCTGTTTACCGTTCCGGAGCACCAAAGATCACCCCAAGTTTCTCGATTTATGACTTTGAAAGTCCAGTTGGTATCATCTGCCTCTTTTTAACAAAGCTAGGAAAAAACAGAACTTATTTTGTTAAGGTGGTACCAAACACCTTGCCTAAAATTAATTTGGCTCGTTTAATTTTTATAAAATTTGGACAAAACTTGACCTTTTGACATAAATATAAATATTTCAAAAAACTTGAACCACACACTTTATTGGAAAAATTTCAATGGCTTATAGCAGTTTAACAAACACCACTAGTAATTTTGATCATTGAGAAGCTTAATATTTCCTTAACAATAGAACGTGATTAAAACGTTCAGCTGATTTTTACAGAGTTATTTCCCTGTAGTTTTATGTACCACCTTAAGTTAGCTTGTTAAGGAAATAGTCCGTATATTTAAAAACAAACAGCCAGAATTGGTACAAACATACTCTTTTCTTGTATTTTTAGCTCATTCACGTGTATTAATGTGTGATTGAGTGTGGAGAATCTTGAGTGATCAAATTATCGTTATTTCAAACGTATTATGCATTCATTCTTAAATATACCAAACACATTAAGTTTGAAATGTTTATTTATCAGGCGCGTGTATATTATAACCTCTTGATCCATCAGGAAAAAAATGGCAAATCTACAAACGTGTTAAGCTTCTATCAATTTGTTTGTCAGTTGCCATATGGTTGTCTCCCCTTGAACTTTGATCACACCGCATGCCTTTCTAGATATAGGTGAACTAGATACAGACAGCTCAATACATCTGGCAAAAGTACGTGCACCCTTATAGAATTGTAAATTATATACATTGTACAAGGGGTCGGCACCCGAAAATCAAAAACGTGCATACTATATAAGAAGATCATATTTGGTTTTGTATTTTTTGCAATTTTGGAATCATTATGCAGCATCAGAATTTAATGCGATGCTGTTTTTCACGACACATTGCGATACAATAAAGATTGCCATATTTAAAATGGCATTTAAAGGTTGTAAAACAAGAGCCATTATTATGGCCACTGGAATAGCAAGAATGATAATTTTTATAATCCTAAATAATAATTTTAATCCGAAAATATGTGTGTTTTAATCATTTTTGGTTGACCATTATAGTTTCTACTTTCAACTACAGTCTCATCTGTAAACAGACAGTTAATGAGGGTCTAGATTGGGTTTACAAACGAGGTGCTTGAATATAAAGAATAGAGAAAAATGGACAAACAAGTAAAGAATAGAGAAAAACAGCCTTAAAATTTAAAGAATACAGAAAGGAAGACCCCAACCCAGACACTGGTTGATTTTGTCAAAGATTTTAGATCCCAACAAGCGTCTACCTGACATGGTTCCCTCTTATTATATGTATCCTTGTCGCAACATTAGCTATTGATTATGACATGATAGGTAATGCATGCATAACAGGCGTTTACCTTGTCAGTAGACTTGGTCTCCCCTCCTCTAGAATCATGAGTGTTACTCACATGTTGGTTTTATATAACTATGTCGGGTGCCACATGTGGGGCAGGATTTACTGACTTCCGGAGCACCTGAAATCACCCCCGGTTTTGGTGGGGTTCGTGTTGCTCTGTCTTTTGTTTTCTATGTTGTGTTTTGTGTACTGTTGTTTATTTTATGGTCGTTTTTTGTTTTTTTTGTGATGGCATTGTCAGTTTGTTTTCGACTTATGAGATTGGATATCCCTTTGGTATCTATCGCCTCTACTCTAGAATCACGCGATTCACTCACATAATGGTTTGTATATAACTAGGATTGTAATATTTGAAGAAGGGATATAGGTGTACTACCTTCATATTTAAGCTGTAACCCGATTAAGTAAACTTAATAGAGCAATATTACTTATACTTAAATATGTATTTCC